ACACTCCCCTGTTAATGCACACATGCACAGACACTTTAAATTGGAGCTAAAAGGAACTACTCTTCATCCAAGAGTACTTCATATACTTTTGAAATTTGCAGGTTCTAACCCTGCTTCTTTTACTTAAAATGTCTTTTCCTACCCCTTTTTTGACACTTAAATCACTCAGACCTTGAGTTTCACACCAAATAATATCACACCTATAACTTTTGAACTTCCCTGTTCTCTCTTCTGGACTCCCATAAAACCTTGTGAATACCTCTATTGACAGCCTTAGCACATTAAATTATAATTTGTTAATTACCTGTTTTGCCTTGTCCCTCTACACTGTGTCTGGAGGGCAAAATCTGTTTTATTTTTCTTGGTATCTCAGGTTACTAGCACATTGCTCAGTATGTGGTATTAAATATCAGGTAAGTGTTCAGAAAGTTTTTGTTGAATTGATGTGAAGGCAAACTAAGGGGCTAAGGACATAGTTTCATTTAATTGCTAAAACATTGGTTCATTTTTATACTTCCTCTGAAAAGAAGGGTGAAGATGCAGGAAAAGAATAATAAATGATGGTCTGTAGGTCACTTTGATTTGACTGTAGAGCAGCCATGATTATTCATCACATTATTCATCAGCTCTTGGGTCAGTCATTAGTCACTCCCACCAAGGCTTCCCACACATTCCAAGAAAGCAGAAAAACAATGGTGAAAAGAGAAGAGATAAGGCTGCAAGTTGCAAATGTAAAGTAGATGAAACAATTTAGGATAAGTGAGCCTGGTTGTAATGTATAATATCATATCATATAATGCCAATGAATACGAATACACACACACACACACACAGTTCCCTCAGTTTCCATTTTCCTGCATATTAACAAATTGTTTGGGAGCAGGAATAGAACTAGTTTATTATAATACCTTAGCAATTCTCTTCATCACTCCAAATACTCTTTTTAATACACTATAAATAATTTTTTAAAATAATAAGTGGAAATAGCTCTCCTGATCTCATGGGGTTTTTAGTAGTTGAATATCATGAAAACATGTTAGCTATAATCAATAAATATAAAGTATAATTAGATAATATTACATGAGATAATTTTTATGTCTTGTAGTAATAAAATCAATGCCAAAAAACTACTATTTTCTATTTTCACAACATCTTTATATGAGTAAGGCAAAGTATGTGCATGCACAGATTGGAAAAGGTTGGTGAGACTTAGAAATAAGCAAGGAATGTCTGGAAAGAGGCCATTTCACCATTATCTTTGTCAGATGGGAAGTGGTACAGAGTTAGTGAGATGGATACAAGGAAAAATAATGTATTTTGGCATCATATTATGTAAATTTGATAGTGATTTTTTAGATCTGTGCTAAGAGACTTAAAGACAATATAAATTTTGAATTTGAATGCAGTTGTGTCCATTAATGCTCCTTCCTAGGTTGCATTCCTGACCAATCGGCCCCATGACTCAGCTTTGTGATCTGAAGCAGCTCAACTTTCTCCCCTGAGTTTAAGACTTAAATTTCCAACTTCCTGACAACCAGCTCAACCCCACAATCTGTGGATGTTTCAAGCTCAACATGTCCCAAATGGAACCTCTAAATCTACTCTTCTTTCAGTTTTCTTTCAAATTAATGTAATCACCATGTACCTAAGCCTGTCATCTTTGACATCTTCTTCATCTACTATATGCTGTCACCTGCTTCCATTGATTCCATATCTTGAATATCTCAAAATGCCTTCATCTTTTCTCCATTCCTGCTGATTCTAACTTAGTTTAGGCCATAATGCCTATTATTTGAGCCATGACAATTATGGTGGGTAACATTTAAGACTAAACTCTAGCTAAATGGTATTACTCTGTGTCTATGAATCCTTGTCTTCATCTGCCTCCCCTCCTCTTTATTTGACCCAAAGTTATGCTTTAGACAATTAGTATTCATTGAACAGTCTTTGCATTTTTTCTGCTTCCCCTAGTAAGCAACGCCTTCCACCAAGACAAGACTCTTCTCATTTATGTTTGCATCCTTAACAGTAATCATAATACCTGCCCTCTGTAGGTATCTGAAAATATTTCTTATAAAGAGATTCCAGATACTGTAGAAGAAAAGACTGAGTAAGAATAAATTTGGATTCATTAAGTTTATTTTTTAATGTAATAAGCTATTCCATTAGATCATAAAAAATTCAAAAAATATGACTGTGTGTAACTCAACTCTACATTATTTCTTTTCCCGGGCTACAATATGATTTCCAAATTGCTTCAGGTATTTGATTTAGTTATGCATTCCCCCATATTCTTTTACTTATTCCTGTTTCATTTGTAAGGAAAAGGGAAAAACTAGTATTTATCACCATTTTTAAATCTTATGTTATGCCAAAATATTCACATAAAAGGAATTCTGTATCTACAGAATTGTTTTTCTTATTTATTCTTTTACATTAATATAGCTGGTTATTAATCAAAGCCAATCTTAGAAAATGTCCTATGTACAAATAATATTGTGACATAAAAATCAACAACAAAGAGAAACTAGGACTCAAAAAACTGGATCAGAGTACTCATCACTTCACATTCCAGATGGAGATCACTTGTTTTCCTAGAGAGCTGGGGCTTGGGGTGGCCTTTGAGTAAGAAAAGGGTTGGCAAATGGAAGTGCCAGACTGTTGCCAAGAAGGAAAAAAAAGATCTTTGGAAGAATAACTAAAGGAGAAAGGCCTTAAAGGAAGTACTCTTAGCAGATCCACAAAGTGTTTTGATTGACTGAAAACCAACCAACCAACCGTTCATCAAGCTCACACACCTATGCATGTGTGCATGCGTGCGCGTGCACGCGCACACACACACACACACACACACACACACACACACACACACACATGCTGTTCTCACTGCCATTCAAAAAGAACTGTATGAACATCAAGTTTCCTTTTTGGCCTTGGCTAATAGGAAGACTTGCACAAAATTCAGTGTTCCTTTCTATGAACTACATTTATGGGTATTTGGGGGATAATTATTCCATCCCCCTATCAACATTTTATTTTTTATTTTCCTTTTTAATTTATTTGATTGTACTTACATGTAGCAGAATAAAGCAAAGCATTGTCAGGTAATAGAGTAATGCAGTGACATTTCTCTGAAGTTAACAGAATTTGTCCTTTCATTGTCACCCTGAACATTCTCCACTAAAGACACTCAGGAAATAAGTACTTTTAGCACATCAGGTATGAGGAAAAAGAGAAGACTTGGCGTAGGAAGTGATGGATGTCATAACCGAGGCAGTTGGTATTTATTCTGACTTAAAATAAAATTTAATTACTATTAGTTCAAAAATATATACTATTTTAAAGGATAGAACCTTTAAAGGGAGGAAATGGCTTTGGAAACATGCATTATTGAGATTTTTGAACTGGATTAACAGGTTTTAAAAAAAGAAACAAACTATTCTGTACTGTTAATAAGAACAGGAATTTCAGAAGGGGCAAGAGCAAGGTAGAGAGGAGAGGATTACAGAGCAATGAGTCAGAATATTATTATTAAAAAGGGATTTTAAAAACAGGGAGATCTTATATTCATTTAAAGTTTGGGGCATTATTATGATGTAAACTCCCACTCTCTCTGCAGAGCCCCCAGTGAGTCTACTCCCACATTTAAATGTCTTTGTGTAAGTGTTGTTTTGTTCTCATTGGCTTTCATTTTGTTTTGTTTTATTGACTTTGGGTAGTTCAGAGGCTGGGGGCTGATGTTGCTGCGCACACAGAGGCACTGTGAGATGGGGGTACAGCATGGAGCCTCGCACCGTGATCCATAAAGTAGACTAAGTTAGTGCCTGCAATAGCTTGGGGCTGGAAGGAAACCTTGAGACCACAAGCCCTCAGAGGCTGTTTGCATAAATCTTGAGAGGACAGTTGACCTTTCCTGAAAGTAGAATGAGATTCAAACCGACTCCACATATGTAAGAGGGGAAATGAAGACCCCCATCTAGCCTCTGATCACATACATTTGGCCTCAGATCCTTTTTAGGATAGGAAACTTAACAGTTTAAAAATGTTTGTTTACACATTTATACGTTCACTTATATGGATTGGTGTGTTTAAAATGACACAAGAAATGTAATGTGTTCTATCCAACCACAGAAGGACTTTAGATATGGATTGCCATACTTTGAATTTATAGAAAATAAAGAGCTGTGATATTCTAAAGCGAATGACAGCATAAAAAGGTAAATGTTAAAAAGGACAAAGAAAGCAAGAATTTCTAGGCTCATAAGCACACTTGTATGTGTTTATCTGGTTTTGTTGAAAATACAAAGTTTGATCTTTCACTGCATTTACAGCTCCCCCTTCTTAGTTTCCCGATTGTTTAATGTCCCAGCACTAAAGTTTCCCTAGGGAAGATGACAGAATTGTAGAGGGGATACCTCCTGCCACTGATGAACTTAAAATCTATTTGGAGAGATGAGATTTAAAGACATAAAAACACTTTCCAGTGATTTACAGTTTATAGAGCATTTATATACACATTTTCACATTTAACCTTACAATGGTTCAATGAGGTTGGTAAGAAGGGCAGTGTTCATTATATCCATTTGAGAGATTAGATTACCAATAAGGCCCAGAGAGAAAACTTAAGACTAAAGAGCCATATCTGACTTCATATTTCACATTACTCCACACTCCTTCTCTGAATACAATAATAAAAATTTAACTATATACAGAATATTGTATGTACCCTGTAGTCAATAAACACAAACACAAGTATTATAATTTTTTTACAATATTACACTATAATTTCTTGCTAAGAAATGAGCAAGGAGGAAACAGTGCAGTATGGTAATCATATATTTTTTCATATGCAAAAAAACTCCACTGTTTACTAAAAAGAATTCTATAAACCTATTTAAATTTTTATCTATATAAGCCCCAGGTTACATCTTACCATTTTTTTAAGAGTATATGCTTTAGAGGCACACAACTTCACCAATAACGCTAAATTTGCTGCTTACCTTGCAAATTTCAAGGAACTTCTCAGTGGTGTATTTCACAGGGTGCTCAGTGAACGTAGCATAAGGCACCTCAGTGGACCAAGGGTTCCAGCGGGAAAGTAGAGACTGCTGCCCCGGGCTCCCCCAGAAGATCCTAAGGCCTTCTCCTTGTCTCCTACAAAGAGAGGAATTTTCCTTTGGGTTAGCCATTTCCATTAGACTAAAATAAAACAAAAAGGGTGGGAAAAGAATCTGATATCTCAGTCATCTTTTATATTGATGCTGAGATAAGTGGCTTATCTACCAACTAGTTGAATTGTTTCAGGGAATTTAGCAGATGAGAAGGATGAATTTGGTTTCAAACACGGCGAGTTCAAGGCGTTGTGGAGAACTCTATGTGAAAATGCCTAGTTGAAAATGTGACACTGGTACTCAGGACAGAGGCCAGGGCTGGAAATAAGGATACTGACCTCATGCTGATACTCTGATGGCAATTGCTATAAAAGAAGGAGAGAAGGAACAATCAAGGTGGTAGGACAGCAACTGAAACAGTGAAGGTGGGAGATAGTTTGAAGGAGAAGGGAGATGACAACAGCTGCAATTTCCACAAAGCAGTAAATGCAAGCAAGAAAGACATGGAACTTCCCAAGTAGAAGGATTTATGATGACCAATTCAGAATACCCTGCAACTTCAACTTCTATACCTCATGGTTCTCTGTTCTCTGCATACATTCTGCCCAGGGAAACTGCAGCGACAAACATGTCAGAGCTTATAGGGAGACTGTGTCTTCTCTTTCCCACTAAATTCACAGACCTGACCCACAGTACACAGGAGGCAGCCACTACCAGGTACAGGCCAGGCCTGGTCATCTGGTAAACCAAAAGCAGAGCAAAAGAAAGTCAGCTTGGGAGTGATGGGTGGGAAGTGGCAGGAGAGTGTGCCCATGGTGAATAACTAAACCATAATTTCTGTGGCCTCTTCTTTTGCATGAGCCCATCAGAATTTCTGGTTTGTGGTTTTAGACATCTCTGAACACAGAGATCCCTGGAGGTTAAGCCAAGCTGAGGTGCTTTGCATTCGACAAGCTTTAAAACTAAGTTGCCTGTAATTCTAAACAGCCCCATGGAATATCACAGAGCTCTCATTTCTTCAAGAAATTAAATCCTGAGATCTAGAAAGAAAGACTAGAGCTTAATTGGGGTGCCCTCACAAAGCGGTCCCTTCCTGTATTAAGGAAGGATTCCTTTGGGGGTGCTCCTGTGGTTTCTGAGTGTTTATCCATGTGGAGAGGTGCATAAACACAACCTCACACACAGGCACATAACGTACCTCTCCCCACTGGCTGATCCCTGAGCTTCTTACAAAAGAAAAGTCAGAAAACAGTCTGGCACATTCTGCTGCCCAGATTTTTTATGATTATATTTGAAAGCTGATACTTAACTTGTTTTGTACTTAATCCTTTACTCAGAAAGAGGAGAAGGAGGAGGAGGTGAAGAAGAAGAAGAAGAAGAAGGAGGAGGAGGAGGAGGAGGAGGGGGAGGGGGAGGGGGAGGGGGAAGAAGAGAGAAAAGAAAAAATAGCACATACCTCCATAAAGTTTCCTTTTTAACCCCTCACCTTCTCAGCTGTTTTACTGATATTTATCATCGCCCTCTACTTGCCTTCATTCTTTTTTTGAATTGTCGTGGCAATAAATCCTAAGCTCACTGAATATTCTACACATTGTAGTTAATGGAGCATTCTGGCTTGAGTCCATTAAGACAACGTGCACAATGGAATTATTTACTACTTAATATGTAATCAACCTATGTGCTGGGTACAGTTTTGCTTATGTCCAACGGGGATGAAAATCTGCCAGGATGCTTCTGTAGTAAGTACACTTAATAATTCTTTGACCTTAGGGAAACCCCAATGAAGTTTAAGCATGAAATTCAAGGGGGACCTTATTTCTGAATAACCAATCAATTGAGAACAGCAACGACCTTTTGCAAGGATGCAGTATACTTCTAAATATACAAGTTCAGGCAGCCTTCTCTCCTGATCTCCATTGGTGACAGTTGAGAAGATAAATCTACAACTATGTAGTCTCTCCAAAGTTACAACTAAGGTGATGTTTCTCAGCAAAGCCTTTAGTACCAGAATGCTATGAAATTCTATCATCTTCTCTTCTGTTAAATGTCATCAGAGTAAGTGTGGAGAATATAGACGCCTCTGGGACCAGAATGTTGTGCTTACCATGAGAGATGTCATGTGCAGTAGCAGAGTGGAGTAAAAAAATGTCATGAACAGGATGCCAGGTAGCCCTGTGTTAGAACCTTAGTTGTGATGCTTAATGCTGTATGACTACAGGCAAGCTCTTTTTTTTTTATCTCGGTTTCCCCACATGTTTTTTTAGAATCCCTCCATGTGGTAGCATTCCATGACCTTAGTAACTATGCAAAAGGTGTAGAGAGCTAGGTCATGAGGCCTCTAGCATTCACCCAGTCAAAGACATACAGGAGCCATAAGAAGCCCCGGGCTATGATGTCCTTAGTTCGGGCATAAAATTACCCCTGAGGAGATTGCATTCTCTGTTGTAAAAGGCTACACCAAGTACTGTCCCATTATTCATAGGGAACTTGGCACCTACCATGGTATTTCACAAAGAGCAAATCAGCTGCCACATGGTAGACTAGTACTTTAGGCTTGATGAGCTGCAGAGTGTCAGAGCTAGAGGGGCTCCTGGAAGCTAGCACTCAGTGCCTTCTTTCTGGAGATGGGAAAACTGATGCAGGAAGCATCACTACAGACAGTGGGGAGCTGGTGAGAGCCCTGTCCCATGACTTCATTTAGGGGTCTCTTCACCATTCTGGGCTATCGTTATAAAATACATTCCAAGTTAAGGTCCTGCCATTATACAACACAGCCTTATTTTCAATAGACACAGAGTTCAAAGAATTAACCTAAAGAGCCTGCCATCATTTGTGGGCAAACAGCCTGTTCAAGGATCTGAGCTGAAGGTCAGAAAGAAAAATCTATCTCAAAAGGAACAGTCAATTTTTAGATATACTCAATATCATAAATTATGAGATTGTAGGAAAATAAGGTAGCATTGAATGTGAAAGGAGAAATCACAAAAAAGATTATGTCATCAGGGTAAGGAGACTGTCTCATTGAGCTGATTGATGGTCAAGTTAATCAAGTGAGGGTAAAGTCCCAGATAAAACATGCTGACATCAAATTATTAAGCAAAGTAAGAGTTGGTTGCTTTCTTCCCAAAGTCATATTCTGATTGTAAACCCTGGCTTTCACTAGCTCTGGGTCTGTGGTCATTTCACACCCCATTTCGAATCTCTTGGGTAACAACAATTTTGTAAGGAACAAGAGAGTAAGGACAAGCCAACATTGTGCGTGCTCTAAGGCACTGCCCAGCTAGCAAGTATTGAGTGCCTCGGGTGTCGTACAGTGCTATTATGTACTGTTAGAGACTTTATATTTTTTAAATTTTGTTTAACCCTTATGGCAATGTTTTTAACTTCTTTGGTAGAAATAGGGGAAATTAAGTGGAAATAAGATCAAGACTGTGACAAAGCTTAATCAGATCATCAAGTCAAGAACCAGGAGTGAACAGAATAAAAAGGGAGAGGAGATATATCATGATCCCTGGACATAGACAAAACCAGAAAACCAAATCTTTAGCATAGAGGTGGTGATGGAATTTTCTGTTTCTCTTCATCTATTTATCCCTATTTCCACCTGATTCTGAGCACCCGGATACTTATGTGTTTAGCTTCTGGTTCCCATCAAGGTTTTGATGTATATAATATTTCCTACTTAAACTTAACATCAGAGGAAATTCCATTCAGCTTAAACACCCCTTCAGCTCTCTTTTCTTTAGACTGGATAAGTTTTTCTTCCATAAAACCTTTCTAGTACATTAAAAAGAATATTGTAATGCACCTCAGAGGTGATTCACCAAAATGTTCCTAAATCGCCCATCTTCAATTCCACCATTTAATTAGCACATTCTCTGTGTAGTGTTTTGTCACAGGTAAAGAAATAGATAAGACTCAGTCCCTGAGCTCCAGATGCTCATGATCTGATGATCTCTGGGCCTATTTTACTCATCTCCTTCCCAGATCTAGAATAGATACAAATAGAAACCCATAGGTCTCGTTGCAGTAGAAGGTCACCTATTACCAATTATCTTGTTCCCTTTATATCCTCAAGGAAACCAGCTGGACCTGGCCTCTGTTCCCCAGTAGTGGAAGGAAAAAGGTCAGGTACCCATCACTTGGGGCAAATTTCACAACTTCAGAGGCAAGTATAGAAGTAGAAGGAAGGCTCCATAAGGATTCATAAGAGCCTGGTGGAAGAAGAGGGCTTATAATAGCTGGAAATTTTTAGGATGCTCGACTGTCTGACTTGGAAGGCCCTTAGAAGTGTGTTTCCAATTCTTTCATTTTATAGATATATAAACTGAGGATCAGAATTTTCAAAGATCAGAGTTCTTCCTTTAGTCACATTAATTACATGTTCTACTTACTCAGTGACTCCGACTCAGGATTCTATTCAGATCCAGTTGTTGCCAGGGTGGAAGGCCTAAACAATTGTTGCTTTAAACCATCCTACCAGCCCAATAGATTGCCTTCCAAACACATACATGCACACAAACACACCAAAGAAAAGCAAAGGCCTATTGAAGCAATGACGTTTATATAGCAGAAAGTCTCACAGAAGTGCCAAAGGACCAACCATGAAAAATAACTATGTTGGAACAATACAAAAACGAGTTTCACGTTAAATGGAAATAAAACTTTCTTCAGGAACAATCTTTGTAAGTTAAAAAATTATTTTTATCAGGAAGGAGTCCTCTCCTCAAAGTCATTTTTGGCTGAACTAGAAAAATACACCAGCCAGTTACCAGCCTGCGTTCATTTGCTCATTCCACACATTCTTCTTTCTTGGGAGAGAAGCCACACATCCTTGTGCATCGTGCAATATAAACTGTTTCCCTTCTCTTGACTCCCCATTCTCCTTCCATCCTGGCCTTCACAGACGCGGCACTGAGGCATTAAGCTACCTGTTAGGGGAAGGAAATGAGATGCTGAGGTCCCCCCGAAAGAGAAATGGCAATTTCCATTATTACCTCCGACAGCTGCCCCTCCTTTCTACTCTTCTCAAATCTCAAAGCT